GAAAAGAAGGCTGCAAAGCTGAAGGAATGGCAGTGGGAGAGCATGCTGCACTCGTGCCTGATACAGCACCCAGAGGAGGAGGGACAGCGTCGCTCTACCACCTGCCCACTCCCGTTTTACATGTGCAGAAGCTGAGACTTTGAGAGGTCCAGTTAGTCTGCAGTTACCCAGCAAGTGCCTGGTGGAATCAAGACTTGAACTTGGGAATTGTCTCTGCCATAACCTAGAACATTCATAGCCTCCTGGGGCTATGAATCAACCTGTCTCAGACAATTCCACAAGGACTATTTTTTTAACTTATAGATAAAAAGACTGAGGCTTGAAGGGACAAGTCACTTCCTATGTAGGAGAGACAAAATCTCTGTTTTTTGTTTTTTGTTTTTAAGAGACAGGGTCTCTCTGTCTCCCAGGCTGGAATGCCATAGCTCACTATAACCTCAAATTTCTGGGCTCAAGGATTCTCCTGCCTCGGCCTTCTGAGTAACTGGGACTACAAGTGTGCACCACTACAGTCAGGTCATTTTTAAGTTTTTATATAGATGGTGGTCTTGTTATGTTTCCCAGACTTACATCGAACCCCTGGCCCCAAGTGATTCTCCCACCTCAACCTCCCAAAGTGCTGGAATTCCAGGCGTGAGCCATCACACTCAGCCATGGAGACAGGATTTGAACCCAGGCAATGCAATGCTGCATGCTTGCCCTTGTTCTGACTTCATTCTGTCCACACAGTCAGAATAGCTTAGAGAGAAGTCCCAAAGAAAAGATGTTGCTAGAATCCAGGATCCCTACCCTGCAGTGAGCCTTTCCCTCATGAGGGTGGGGAGAGAGACATATAAACTCACACAGAGGATCATTTCTGATTCTGGTGCATCACAGAAGCAAGAAGACAAGCAGGTGGAATAGGCATCATGGCGAAGCTGTGAGGGTGATGTGTTAAAGGTGCCAGCACGGCTAGAGAAGGCTGCACTGAGGAAGTGGCCTGTAAGTGAGAACTAGACAATGAGAATGAGCCATCCAGGCAAGGATTTGGAAGGAGGGGCATTCAAGGCAGAGGAACCAGAAGGTGAAAAGGCCCTGAGGTTGAACCAGAGAGCTGTAGGGACCACTGTAGGAAAGAGATGTAATAAAGAGTTTAGATTTTACTCCCAGAGAGGGGCACATGGCTTCCCTGGAGAAAAGGGACTTTGTGTGGGGGGTGGGGGGAGGGTCAGGGGTTGCTGGGAAGAAATTATATGGAGGTAGCAAAGTCCATTTCCAAGTCCATGGCTGATCCCATACACCCCCTGACCCTCTATCCCCAGAAAAGGGTACATCTCCTTGGAATCCATGTGTTCCCAGATGATAGCAAAGGACCAGCCTCAAAATGCCAAGGCTACTCACCTAGCTCTCCTCCAGAGGTGGAAAAGTCCTTCCCCAGGATAACCCACTTCTGAATCTTCTGCACATTGGAGATAGACTGCTGGTTTATGGTCTTGCTGGATGGCTGCATAGAACATAGGTTCCCGCATTTTCAGGATCTCAGTCACAGTGGATGCCTTGCTCCCCAGGTTCCAGCAGAAGTTGATGACCTCCATGCTCAGCTGGTCCAGAGGCTGTCCACTCACTGGATCCTTCTCACACTGCCCTAGAACGCCCTGTGACCAGACGTGCTCCTTGACCATCTCCCACCACTCCCCCAGGCCCTGAAGACCAAGAAGTGGGTCTTGAACCCGCAAGAGCACCCTCCCCCTGAAGCAGGGCCAGGAAGAGCAGAGCTGACTCCCCAAAGCACACAGCAAACCCACACTTACTTCCACTGTCAGCAACATGCTTAGAAAATTGGCTTTGTATGATGGGGATCTCCTTCACCAAGGTCTCCATGTGAATAGGGTCACGTTTTCACCTCCAGCAGTGATGAGGATTTCTGGAATAGAGCTTGGCTTGGTATGTGTCCAGCCGTGACAGTGCAAAGTGCCCACTCCCTTGGGGCTCAGAAGGGCAGATGCCAGCATGGCCAAGCCAACACTCACCCTGAAAACCCCAGAAGCACAGGACTCGCCTCTCTTCCCCTGTCTGCATCAGTGTCCTATCAGGGGCTGAAGTTCTGTATGTTCCACTTGGACAGCATCTTAACAACTCATTGCCTATTTCCCATGTCCTGTTCTAGGTTCCTTGAAAGTCTTTCTTGAAGGACAATGAAACCTATTTGGCCACGTGCTATCTCTGTTTCTTGCCTTTTCATCACTTGCCAACCCCAGAGAACCAAATTCTAACCCTCAGGAGCATGTGTGGCATCCCTAATTTTGACTATCTCTAAAACAGTCTCTCCACCTCTAAAATTCTCCTCCTTCTATCCCAGACCCATTCATCATCACTGGTTCTTTCATCCTGACATGCCAGCCTGTTTCTGTCCCACCCACACTCTCTCCACCTTGTCCCAAGGTCTTGCAAGGTCACCTTCACTGTGGTTGTTACAGCAGTAGTGATAATGGACATGGCTGGATAGTGGACATCTGTAGCTCCTTTTGGGGGTCAGAGCACCCCTGATTTCTTTAGGGAACTACCTTTTACTTTTTCATGTATGTGCCTTGGGTAGGATAGATGCAGGGGTGAGCATGTGGCCAGCTATGAGTAGTCAGCAGACTTCACCCCCTACAGCAATTCATTCTAAGGGGGAACTTGACTCAAGAGGATCTAATCAGAATAAGACCTGAAACTTTTGCTGAAAATATTGGGGATAACACACTCTAGTCCTTTTGGGCATTAAAGGTGGACCTATATTATTGACAGCTTTCTTGCTACCAAATTGGAAAAGCCCCAGCACAGAGGAAAACTCAGTGAGAAAAGGATAAATTCCTTGTGATAGCATTTTGGCACTTGGATCCAGCCATGCCTGAAGCCCTTTTGGACTTTCCAGTTCTGTTTCCAGTTCTGCTTGTTTTTTGTTTTTGTTTTTTTTTTTAACTCAAATCCATTGAAACTCATCTTAAATAGGTTTGAGTTAAAAAGTGCCAAATGCTGTCCATCAGAGATTGGCCAAGTATGGCCTGTTTGTGCTTGTGTTCCAGGTCTTAGATTGTTCACAGCGGGACTGGTTACATCAGGCCCCACAGAGCCCAGCACACCCACCCGCAGTACCTTTGATGTGGCCAGTGATGTAGAGGAAGCCCTGGTTGTCCATGTGTCCCAGATCCGCTGAATGTAGCCAGCCTTCCTCACCGAAGACCTCCAGAGTTTCAACCTCACTTCTCCAGGTAGTCCATGAAGATTGCCTGTCTGACATGCAGATCTCCCCAATGCCCTCCTTATTCTGCTCAAATGGCATGTTCTTACACCCAGTCAAGATCTTGCTGCAGCTGCCAGGGGACACAAGTGGGGACACTACTCAGGCTCAGAGAGGCAAAATTGCCCACCCAGCAATGTGTGGATCTGCAGCTCAGGCTCTTAGCCCAGCTCAGCTGATGGAGGCCAGATCTTCTTCCTCTGCAGGACTCAGGGGCACAAGGAGATGTTTGCCAAGTTGTGACTGCACAAATGGTCACACGAGACACAGATTGACAGTACACGCTGCAAGAGGTGAGGCTAACCATAGGTGCAGGGCTTCCAAGTCACAGGAGATTTCCAGGCTTACCAGGAGAATGTCTTGTTCTCAGTAATTCCTCAGATGAGTTATGACATTGGTGACTGTGGTAGTAAGTATGATGTTTAATCCTCTATACCAAGTGTTTGATCTAGTGAGTCAGGCTCCCCAGTGCTTCATAAACTGGGAAACCCAGCAGTGCTATATTCTGCATGTTTGTCTGTGTGTTTTACCTTCACATAAATAGGAGAAAGTGCTGAGGTTACACCTGTGAGCCACTGTGCCTGGCCTCTTCTAATTTTTTTTTCATACATGCATGTATTACTAGCTAGAAAAAAATATTTAAAGATAGAGGCTGAGATTTATCCTTTTTTTTTCAGGGGTGGGATAACATCATTTATTTTTAGAAAAGGACCACTCTGTTTTAAAAAAACTATTGTTGGGTCTTTGGGTTCTGCAGAAAACATACCCAGCTGGGATTATGGAATAGAGAAGGGGAGAAAGATATTGAGGTGCTAAGGTCCTCTGCAAAGTAAAGAAAAGGGCAGGAGATTAGGAAGATTTAACTTATTTTTTGCATTGTCAGCTGGGTCTTGAGAAAGACAGTTGGAAACTGGATAATTGGGAACTCCAAGCGTAAGAGTAGGGTCAGACTTGCAATCTGCAGCAGGGAAGAGGCCAGGAAGAGGCACGACCAGAAAATTCTGTGAAGGAACCTGGCTCCCAGACTTGAGAGTTGAACTTGCCTTTGGTATTAGAGAAAGACGGGAAGATTGGGGGTTTGGAGGCTGGAAAATGGGGATTATTCTGGCGATGCCACCTCAGAATTCTCAGCCCAGATGCTCGCCCGCCCACACATCCTTGTCCCCTTCACCAGTGCTTATCTTGGAGGTCAGTACCTTAGGAGCCTGAAGTTATAGTAGGTGGAGATGGCATGAGGTCCAGAGCTTTCAGTCAGCCCATGTACCTCACCTATAGGTATGTCCAAGCTTAGAACTCAGCAGTCTCTTTGGTGATAGGTGCAGCCACACTGATGGAAATGTGGCAGTGATCCAAGCCTAGGGAGCTCCTGATTTTGCTGAACACCAGGCTGTTAGCCACATAGTAACTCATATTAGTTTCCTGTTTCCTGTAAATAAAATTGAACTAAAAAGGGCTGATGAGATCTTTGTCCTGTGCAGTTGGGTGGACTAATCTGCTGCTATATGTAGTGGGTTTCAGGCCAAACCTGGCCTGCACAGCAAGAGCCCAACTCTGACTGACGTTGGACCTTGGGAGTTTGTCTCCAATGTCTGTGGAGGTGCAAAGGCCTCAGTTCTAAGCACAGGTTCAAAACTATAGCCACAAGCCATGGAAGCTAGGATGCTCTGGTGCTGGAATTTCACTTGACTTATACCAACTGTCACTCCATATAATTACAATAAGAAAGTGTGTCTAGTAATGAAGTCGAATATGGGGTGTCATAGTTTAACATCTATATAGTACCTTCCCAAAGTTGAATGTGATCACAGTAGCATGGTGTGGTATGACATTTGCTCAAAAGATGGTGCTAATCAAATGATTGCTAGCACCAGTCACTGTGTCACAGACAGGACAGTTAAAGAAAATGGTGGAGTCACGGTTGTCGTTTAAGGAGCACAAGACCATTTTGAAGTGGCATTTGAAATTCAAGAACATTGTGGAAGGGCAGCAATAGTAGAGGCGTGAGTATGCAGCAGACCCAGCACGCCTGACAATTGTGCGCATTCATGATAAATTTGAGACACATGGCACTGTGTCTTCTTCCCGGGGAAGATCCAGGAGGCCTCGCACAGCCACAGTCCCATTGTGTCTGCAATGATGTTGGAACAATTCACACACTTGCCACAGAAGTCTACCAAACAGTGTGCACGTGAGACTGGGATTAACAGAATGAGCATACGACGCATTCTTAAGACAGTGGGAAGTTTTTGTCCCAAGATTATTACATTCACTGAATGAAGACGACCCTGATTGAAGGGTACAATACTGTGAGTGGTTCCAAAACACGGTACTAGTGGATGAGGAGTTTGTGGGGGAAATGGTTTGGCTGACCCAAGCACAGTTTAAACTAAACGGAACAGTCAACCAACATAATTGTGTGTATTGGGCTCCAGAAATTCCATGTATGGAAAAAGATGTCCATTTGCTGGGCCTCAGTGCCTGGTGTGGACTGTCATTGAGGGAATCATTGGACCATTCTTTTTTGAAGGTCCGATTACTGGTCCTGTGTACCTAGACATGCTACGCACATCCATTTTACCTGCAGTTTTACTTCCAATAGGACAGTGCCCCACCACACTTCCACGCAGACGTGAGAGCTTGCCTTGATGAGAACTTGCCAGGACAATGGGTAGGACGCAGAGGCGTGGTTGAGTTTCCCCCATGGTCTCCTGACTTAACCAATGGGGCGCCTTACAGGATGTGGTGTACCATAGAAAACTGGCTACTCTGGTGGAACTTGGGGAAGAAATTGAAAAGGGTGTGTGCCGCGATACAAGCAGACACTTTGGTCAGCGTTGCTCCAGCAGTAGTTCTCCAAAATCAGAAGTGTCTGGAATTTGGTGGTAACCACTCTGAGCACCTCTTGTAATCGCAAAAGCCAAATGTGACTTGTTTTTATCTTTTATAATCAGTATATATTCAGTATTACAATTTGGAGTTTTTGCCTTTGGTGGAATGTGCATACCTTTTTTGGCACCCTCTGTACTTCTACTAACTCTGTAGCAACTATGTGTCCATGTCACTATGTGACACAGGAGTAAAGCAGTGAGCCAGTGCTGGTGGCGACAGTGTAACAGAGGCCTCATGTTCATCTCTTCATTTTATTCTAACACATTTGGTATATTCTATTCTCCCATTTTACACATGAAGAAATGGGCTAGGTAGTACCTCAAGTTCCATCATGTATGAGTAGCTCTGAACAAGGAGCCTTGTGTGTAACTTTTAGGCAAGGATTTGATGTCGTTGGTGTGACAGGCTTTTTGGAAGAAAGGCCCACAGTAGAGCTGGTAAGAATATAAGTTCTTAATAGTATTTAATTGCCTTGAACCTAGAGAAGGTTCTCAAGATTTGGCACAAAAAGAAGCATCTGTCAGTGTATTGAGTGTTTTTGGCATATGTACATAATGACGTGTAAAAGGGGACTTAACATGAAAATTTGGAAGTGATAGGGAAAGTTTTCACATGGAAAGAAACTTAACACTCCAGCAAGATGTGTAGAGCCGGTATGTGCTAGAACAACCTCATTTCCATTAACCAACTTGCATGTCTAGCAATTGAGATCTTCATATTAGTGTGTATGTCAATTAAAAGTAACTTATTTATGGTTCATCTTATAAGGGTACATGTGAATCTTTCTAAATGTAGAATATAAATGTCTTAACACAATAACTAAGAGGATGCCATGAAGGCTATGTTAACCAGTTTGATGAAAATATTTCAGATTATATATAGAACCAGCACACTGTACTCCATGACTGCATTAACATACACAGCTATGATTTAATTTAAAAAAATAAATTGACCAATACTGTTAAAAAAAAAGTAACTTATTTTCCAGAATCTTTAAGTAAAAGGGCTGAGATAGCCCAGGCATCGTGGCTCACACCTGTAATCCCAGCACTTGAGAGGCCGAGGTGGGTGGATTGCCTGAGCTCACAGATTTGAGACCAGTCTGAGCCAGAGCAAGACCTCATTTCTTGCATTGTAGCAGACACCTATAGTCCCAGCTACTTGGGAAGCTGAGGCAAGAGAATCACTTAAGACCAAGAGTTTGAGGTTGCTGTGAGCTCTGATGCCACAGCACTCTGTCTCGAAAAGGGAGGGGGCTGATGATGACAACCAAGTGAAGGAGGTTGGGCCTCTTCACCCACTATTCTCCCAGCTCTGTAGACCCTCTGCTTACCCCACCATCCTTTTCGTGTTGGTCCAGAAGCCAATTGTTTTCGCCCATAAAAACATCTTCTTCTTGAGATATTTGGCATTCTTTTCCCTGATTGTCTCATACACCTTCTCCCAAACTTGAGGCACCCCCATGAAAAGAGCAGGCTTTACATTCTGCAGAGTACTTAACAAGGTGCCCTGCATGGGACAGAGCTGAGTTAGACACAGCAGTGCCCTCCATGGATCAGAGATGTCTTGTTTCTCCTGATCCATCCAACTATGCCCAAGAGAACATCCCTTCGCCCATTGGACCAGAGTGAGCTCCTGACCCAAGAGAGACAGTCATTTGCCAATAGGAATTTTACATTCTCTTCTGGGAATTTGATGAGAAGCATAGGCTGGTAAAATATTTTTGGAATCAACATTTTAAATGAACCCTGGCAACTTCTCTTCTGCAGGTGAAGGAATTTAGCTGAATGACTCAGGTACACAGAGAAACACACTAAAGATGTTCTTTGTGGCATTGTTTTATACCAAACCATAGGAACTGACTAAAGAAATTGTGGTTGCATGCAGTGGAATATTATGCAACTGTTAAAAGGATGCAGGTTTCTCCCCTAAACTGATCTACAGGTTCAATGCAATCTCTAGCCAAATGCAGGCAGGCTTTTTCATACAAACTGACACACTGATCTTAAAAATTTGTACAGAAAGGAAGAAGATCTAAAGTAACCAAAGCAGGCTCAGCACCTGTGGCTCAATTGGCTAAGTCATCAGCCATATACACCTAAGGTGGTGGGTTCAAATCCAGCCCAGGCCCTCCAAACAACAAGACGGCTGCAACCAAAAAAAAAAAAAAAATAGCTGAGCGTTGTGGCAGGCACCTGTGATCCCAGCTACTTGGGAGGCTGAGGCAGGAGACTCATTTGAGCCCAGGAGTTGGAGGTCGCTGTGAGCTGTGATGCCACAGCACTTTACCCAGGGGGACAGTTTGAGGCTCTGTCTCAAAAAAATAAAATAAAATAAAATAAGAATAAATTGTTAAAAAATAAAGTAACCAGAGCAATTTTGGAAAGGAAAAATAAAATCAGAGGACTTACTACATAATTTTATTTTTTAATTTTTATTTATTTATTTATGTATTTATTTTTGGGACAGAGTCTCACTCTATTGCCCTGGGTAGAGTGCCCTGGTGTCATCATAGCTTCTAGCATTTTAAAACTTATTATAAAGTAAGGTGATCAACCATCCAGGTTTACCCAGAAATGGAAAAGTTACTGAAATTTTGAACTTTCAGTTATAAAACTGGGAATGTCCCAGGAAAAATAGGACAAAATTGGTCATTCTGATATAAATCTATAAATCTAGTGTAATCAAGGAAGTATGGTTTTGGTAGGAGGATAGACATGCAAATTAATGGAACAGAATAGAAGATCCAGAAACAAAACTTTACATTTACGATCAATTTTCTTTTCTTTCTTTCTTATTTATTTGTCTGTGTATTTATTTTTTGAGACAGAGTCTCTCTCTGTTGACTTGGGTAGAGTGCCAGGGGGTCATAGCTCATAGTAACCTCAAACTCTTGGGCTCAAGAGATTCTCTTGCCTCAACCTCTGGAGTAACTACTCCAGACTACAGGTGTGCACCATGAACACCTGGCTAATTTTTCTAATATTTTTAGTACAGATGGGATTTCAGTCTTGCTCAGGCTGGTTTTAAACTCCTGAGCTCAAGTGATTCTCTGGCTTCAGACTTCCAAAGTGCTTAGATTATAGGCATAAGCCACCATGCCTGGCCTGATCAATACATTTTTAACAAAACTACCAAGGCAGTTCTGTTGGGGGAAAATATTCATCCATCTATCTATCTATCTATCTATCTGCCTATCTATCTATCTATCTATCTATCTGCCTATCTATCTATCTGCCTATCTATCTATGTAAAATATGTATCGCAAGCACATAAGTGCATCTTACTTTTCATCAAACACAAAAATTAACTCAAAATATATAAATGTAAGAGCTGAAAATAAAAGCCTTATAGCAGAAAATACAGAAGAAAAACTTGATGGCTTTAGAGTAGGCAGAGATTTTCTAGAAATGATACCAAGAGCATAAAAGAAAAAAAAATAAATTGGACCTTATCAAAGTTAAACATCTTTTGTGCTTCAAAAGAAAACAAAAAGATGGGCCACAGTATTGGCAAATCATAAGTTTGATAAAGGATTTATAACTAGAATATATAAAGAATCCTAATGTGCAATGTTTTTAAATGGGCAAAACATTTGAGAAGATATTTCTCCAAAGATGATATACCAACAGACAATAAGCACATGAAAAGACGTTCACTGCCCTCATTTATCAGGGAAACGCACATCAGAATGATGGAGTATCACTCACACCCACTAGGAATGACAATAACAATAGGAATAATGTAGACAGGGCCAGGTGCAGTCCTTATGCCTGTAATGCCAGCTACTCAGGAGGCTAAGGCAGGAGGACCAGCCCAGGAGCTTGAGGTTGCAGTGAGTTATGATTACACCACTGCCCTCAAGCTTAGGCAACAGAACAGGACCCCATCTCTAAAAAACTAAAAAAATGATAGTAAGTGTTACTGAGGATGTGGAAGAACTATAAACTTTATACACTTCTGGTGGGAATATGAAATGGTGCATTTACTTTAGAAAACACTCTAGCAGTTTCTTAAAATGCTTAGATGCTTTTATTATCATTCAGACTACAATTTTTAAAATTTTGACAACATTAGGGCTGATATGGATGAAGGAAAATGGAAACTTCTCAAGACTTGTATGTGAATTTAGCCAGGAAAAAAAAATGTATTGAATATATACCATATCTCAGGCACTGAACATGCGGAATAGGAAAGTGATTGAGAGGGGCCAGGGAAATATTTAGCAGAGAACTGACTGAGGAGGAAGAGTCAGGCATGCAAAGAACAGGACAAAGAATCTTCTAGAAGGAAGTGCAAAGGTCTGCTTGCTTGATGGAGAGTGTGGGAGAAAAAATAATGTCAAGATCTCAAGATCTCCATGACCTAACTCCAGGAAACCTGTGAATATATTTTAAGTTAGGAATCTTGAGATGTCCTGGGTTAGCTGGGTGGGCCCAGTGTTATTGCAAGTGTCCTTATAAGAGGGAAGCAGGAAGGTCAGGGTCATAGGCAGTGTGATGATGGAGTTGAGTGAGTGTGTGTGTGTGTGTGTGTGTGTGAGAGAGAGAGAGAGAGAGAGAAAGAGAGAGAGATTGGAAGATCCTATGCTGCTGTCTTTGAAGACAGAGGAAGGGACCAATCACTTCTCAGCCTTTTGGCTAAGATCAAGTGCAGAGGAAGGGACCACAAGCAAAGGCATGTAGCTTCTAAAAGCTGGAAAAGACAGCCAAGGACGATGGCTCACACCTGTAATCCCAGCACTCTGGGAGGCTGAAGCAGGAGAATGCTTGAGGCCAGGAGTTGAAGACTAGTCTAAGCAAGAGTGAGACTCTGTCTCTGCTGAAAATAGAAAACTTAGCTGGGCATCATGGTGGGCACCTATAGTCCCAGCTGTTCAGGAGGCTGAGGAAGGAGGATCACTTGATCCCAGGAGTTTGAGGCTGCAGTGAGCTATGAAGATGTCATTGCCACTGTACTTCAGCCTGAGTGACAGAGTGAGACACACAAACTAGAAAAGGCAAGAAAATATATTTTCCCTCAGAATCTCCAGGAGGAATGTAGCCCTGCCAGCACCTTGATTTTTAGCACAGTTAAATCCGTTTTGGACTTCCAATCTCCAGAACTATAAAATAATAAATTGATGTTGTTTTCAGCCGTTCAGTTTGTGTCATTTGCTGTGGCAGTAATAGGAAGCTAATTTAGAGAGTATGGCTGGTGGGGTAGTGGGAAAGGGAAGGCTGAATACCAGAGGTCACTCCTGGCTCTACTAGGTTTGCAAAGTCCAGACATAGAAGAAGTAAAGTTTTTCTCTCACATAATTATTCTGGAAACTTTACCAAAGGATAATCTTCAGCTAAATGAAAGAATCATCCTCTAAAGAAGGCAAACCTGCAGAAAATTAGAGGATCCAATCCAGGATTAGGGGAAAGGGATAGCCCTGAGCAGCCACTTGTAGAAGGCACTGCCAATGTTCCATCCTGATTCCTACTTGTTCATAGTTTCCTCTTTTCCAGAGAACTGCCTTCCCTCAGATGAAGTTCAAGGCCCACCCACTCTCCCTTAAAGTGAGACAACACTGTGGCACCACTCATGCCTCAGAGCTTCCCACAGGATCCATCTGAGGTTACAGTCCAGCTGAATCTATTAATACGAGCATCTTTTCTTGGTTTCTTTCCCTGGCCTATCCTGTTCCCTTCACCATTTTCATCTGAGAGCCCCCACCAATAAATCACAAAAAATTCTCCATTTCATCTTTTACTTCTAGGGGACCCAACCCAAGACAAGCTAAAACAATAATCAGTCCAGCTTAGGACAGAAGGATGAAGAAGAAAAAAAGAAACAAGGCATGGTGGCTCATACCTATAATCCTAATACTCTAGGAGGTCAAGGCC